CTGCAGGTTTACTTGTGGTTCCTGGAGTTTCTAAAAGTAGAAYGGGAGGCAGAGCTTTCAGTTATCAAGCTCCTCTCTTGTGGAACTAACTTCCAGTTTCTGTCCATGAAGCTGACACTCTGTCTGCTTTATGATTAGACTGAAGACTTTCCTTTTTGATAAATCCTATATTTAGACTTAGGTTTCCTGAATTATTCTTCATTTCTGCTGCTATAGACTTAGACTGAAGACTTTCCTTTTTCAGAAATCCTATAGTTAAACTTAGGTTTCCTGAATTATTCTTCATTTCTGCTGCTATAGACTTAGACTGCTGGAGCACAAACTGAGCACATTTCCTCACTCTGCTGTTGTCTTTACTCTCTCTTCTCTACGTGTTTGTTTTGATTTTATCAGTAACATGTATTTTTTGTTTCTCTTTCAGAAGAAAATACACCTGGACCAGTCCTGGACCAGTCCTGGACCAGTCCTGTGTTTCTCTGTGTCTCTTTCCTGTCCCCCAACCAGCCGGTCGAGGCAGATGTCCGCCTGTCCTGAGCCTGGTTCTGCTGGAGGTTTCTTCCTGTTAAAGGGGAGTTTTTCCTCTTCACTGTCTGATTCTCAGGATGGGAGACTGTAGCCGTGCTTCCATCAACGTTTCTTCATGCACTTTTTGGAGCATTGCATCAGAAAAGGTGAATGGAAACGGCTTGATTCGAAAAAACTTCCTCTGATACGCATAAAAGCTGATACGCTCGCTTGAGGTGGTTTTATGGTTTTTCGAAAAACACTTAATGCGCAAAAGGAGAGATGGAAACACTTTTGCCGAATCAGTTGTGACGTAGGGAACATTTACCTCACGTAGCTGATCAGCTGTTCCCCGGTACCGGTACCAGTTTCGGGTCAGCTGCAGCCGCGACTGGCAGCAGGACCCTCCTCCCGCTGTCGGCGTCTTCTCAGTAATTCCGTAACGTGAAGAAAATTGCATTTCTTTCTCTACATCTCCAGACAGCAGTAACATCTCCAAAACTAGTTGATAACAGAATAATTACAACTTTCCTGATAGTAGCAACACATTACTGGTAACTTCTCTCCATTATCCTGAGATGTGTGGACCCTGTGAGTTTAGCGACGGTTACTTCCTGTTTACTACATACATGCGTATGACGTAATTGATTCACTTCAAGCCAGTTGATGGAAACTCKGTCTRATTTGCATTTCTTAATTTTTTCCTTTTTGCGAAATTATTAAAATTCGCTCAACATTTGAATTAAAATTGGATGGAAACACGGCCCTCTCCTTGGGCTGCCACCTTATCGTGGTGGAGGGGTTTGAGTGTCCCAATGATCCTAGGAGCTATGCTGTCTGGGGCTTTATGCCCCTGGTAGGGTCACCCAAGGCAGACAGGTCCTAGGTGAGGAACCAGACAAAGCGCAGCCGGTATGATGCAAGAAAATTTTGGATCTAACGTTCCCTCGCTCGGACGTGGGTCACCGGGGCCCCCCTCTGGAGCCAGGCCTAGAGGTGGGGCACGGTGGCGAGCGCCTGGTGGCCGGGCTTTCACCCACGGAGCCCGGCCGGGCTCAGCCCGAAGAGGAGACGTGGGTCCCCCTTCCAATGGGCTCACCACCTGTTGGAGGGGCCAAAAGGGTCGGGTGCAGTGTGCAATGGGCGGCGGCCGAAGGAGGGGACCCGGGCGGTCTGATCCTCGGCTGAAGAAGCTGGCTCTCGGGACGTGGAGCGTCACCTCTCTGGTGGGGAAGGAGCCGGAGCTAGTGTGCGAGGCTGAGAGGTTTCGGCTAGAAATAGTCGGCCTCACCTCGACGCATGGCTCTGGTTCTGGAACCAGTCTCCGTGAGAGGGGCCAGATAGAATTCCACTCTGGAGTTGCCTGCGGTGAGAGGCACCAGGCAGGAGTGGGCATACTTGTTGCCCCCCATC